TAATTCCATGCTGGCTATTACATTTGTTAAGAGTTTTATTTTCTAGATGCACTTTGGGAAATGTGTTTGTCATGTAGTCAGATGATAGGTAAAGGTTAGGTGGGTGGATATATTAAAATAGTAGTTATTTCTTTTGTGCAATTTCTTAGATATCTTTAACAGGAAAGCTTCAGAACCCATCGGAGCAAAGATGATCTAAAGAGAAGTAACAAGGAAGATCTGAATCAGCCTGGCTCTATGATTCTGCCTTGTTTAGGCCATGTGACTCTGGATGAGTAACAACCTCCCTCTTGTCAGTTTCCACTTGTGTGAAAAGACGTAACAGCAACAGGCCATCAGAAATATTGGGAGGATTAAAGGAGAGACGCATCCAGGAGAAATGAAAACACATCTACACAAAAACTTGCACACACAAGTTTATCATAGCATCATTCATAATAGTCAAATGGTGGAAATAATGCCAACGGAAAGACAAAATATTGTCTAGCCACACAGTGGAATATCATTCAGTCATAAAAAGGAATAGCATATTGACATCCTGTAACATGGAAGAATATTGAAAAATTATGTTAAGTGGAGGAAGCCAGTCACAAAAGATCACATATTATATAACTCCATTCATATTAAATTCCCAGAATACGGAAATCCATAGAGACAGAAAGCAAATTAGTGATTGTTCAGAGCTGGAGAGTGGAGAAGGAAAGAACAGAAAGATGATAGCTAAAGGGTATAGAGTTTCTGTTTGAGTGGGTGAAATGTAAAATTTACCGTGATGATGGCTGCACGTATTTGTCAATATACTAAAAACCAGTGTACTGTATACTTAAAAGGGATGACTTGTATAGTGTAAAAATTATATCTCAATAAAGTTGCTAAAAATAAACAAAAGAGACCAAGCAAGAATGATGGACAAACCTTTGTGGCAAAAAGAAAAACAAAATACTTTTTTTAAAGGAGGGTGGAAAAATACTACAATAAAGGAATCAGAACTGTGCTTGGCACAGAGTAAGGACTTGATAAACACCGAGTATCAGTAATTACTTCTATGAGTAAGTATAAATCATTGTGAATAGCTTTGGAAAAAAAGAGTACTGTTAATGTAGTATGACTAACAGTAAGACTGAAATTTCAACTTTAATCTTAAAATATTAATCTTTAAAGATATTTCAAAATTCAACCTTATCCCCTGAAATCTAAAGATAATCCATTCCTAAATAGTCTACTTAAAAGGTAAATTTCAAAATGAAATGCAGCCCTTTCTCTTCTTTAATGAGTTTGCTATGTAAGTATATTAAATTATCTGTGATTGTCAAATCTTCTTTAAGCTTTGGAAACTGACTAACTACAGAGTCAAAACATGAGAAATGTGAGAAGGTTCTTTCATTATTAAATACACTTACAACTGGAATAATTCTTAAAAGAAAAAACTTTGGGGGACTTTCCTGGTGGTTCCATGGTTAAGAACCCACCTTCCAATGCAGGTAACGTACGTTCAAACCATGGTCAGGGAACTAAGATCCCACAGGCCATGTGTCACAGCCAAGAAATTTTTTTTTTTTAAGTTTAAAATCACCTTTAAAAACAAGGTTACTTGTGATGGTAGATACTGCCAACTGTCATTTTGTACTCTGAACTCTTCTAAACTGAGGGTTCTTAATGAAATATTTTGTTAATCCATCAACTATTTACTTCATTTTTAAAATACAGAATGCTTGTGAGCATGAGTGTTGGAGGAAGTCACTGTCTGAACAAATTGCTTTGTCTGTTTCCTCATCAATAAAAGAGATACTACAGTACTACTTAACCCCACAATGCTCTGATGAAGGTAAAGAATATAGAGACAAGATTACCTGGTCACCAGAAATAATACTCACTGTCAGTATAAGGCAGCTGGATCTAGAAGCCTTCCATTAGTCCTGTGTAACTGATGGTGATATTTGAGCTAATTATTTTTGATACTTGTAGGAGGAAATGGCAACCTACTCCAGTATTCTTGCTTGGAGAATCCCATGGACAGAGGAGTCTGATGGGCTACAGTCCATGGGATTGCAAAGAGTCAGACACAACCGGGTGACTAAACCACCACCACCATTGTCTATACTAGTCACAAAATAATTATTTGCATTTGCACAGCAGTTGTGCTTTTCAGAATGCTTTGCTTTGATAGAAACTTGATCCCCAAAGTATCCCTTGCAGTAAACAAAACGTTACCCCAATTTAACTGAGAAGATACTGCAGCCAAAGGATAGAGAGACGAGGCGCTAAGTTCAGATCACATTTACAGGAGCATACTCCCGGCTCTTCAGATCCAAGTCAGCCCAGCTCCTGAATCCTACCTTACCTTTCCCTCTATGATGTCCCGTCCCTTCCACCACTTTGATGCAGGTCAGCTCCAGTAATCTTGGAAAGTGCTACCATCTTTAACAAACCTCAAAACCACCTTCCCTTTCTTAAGTTTCTGAGACTTCATTCACAGAGATGATGTTGCTTCACACAAAAAGGACTGTGTGATGATCATCTCTGCTCTTCAAAGTGTTCAAACATATCATATGTCATCAACTCACACCACTCACCTCCTACTCTCCACTTTGTTACAAGGAAGAGAAGGATATAAGTAGAGTTTCGAGACTTACCTCACTTAGGTACCAACAGCATGAAATAAAAACTAATTTATATATGATATCTATATAGATAGAATATACACATATATTCATTGTACTTATATAATAGTTCTAATGACACAGTATACAATAGTATGGCTTATATACAAAAAATATTGTATAGTATATAATGATATCACATAGAAAGTGTCCCTGGTAGCTCAGACAGTAAAGAATCTGCTTGCAATGCAGGAAACCTGGGTTGGGAAGAGACCCTGGAGGAGGGCATGGCAACCCACTCCAGTTTTCTTGCCTGGAGAATCCCATGGACAGAGGAGCCTGGCGGGCTACAGTCCATAGGGTAGCAAAGAGTCAGACACAACTGAGTCAGTAAGCATGTATAATTATAAGCTTCAAATATACAAATGTATATATAATCATTAAGAATAAAGTTTCCTCATATGTGAAATAGCATTAATAACAATAGTAACTACTTCATGAAACCATTTTTGAGGACTTAAATGAATTAATATATTCTAAATGCTTAGAACAGTCTCTAATATAAAATACACACTCAGGAAACATTATCTGTCATAACTATTACTTATCTTACATATTAAAAAGGATTCCTAACTTGTAAACATTGTTCACTAGAGATACTCTTAAATACTTTGTTTCTTCCATGTACTAGTTTTTAAAATTTATCACTATTTTTCAACAAAACTTTCAGAAAAACTTTTTTTTCCCCAAAGTGACACATTATCTTCTTAGGAAGACTATTATAGCATGTAGTAATAAGTATCCCTTAAAACAAATCACATACCCCTGAAAAAATAGAAGCAAGCTGTAACCCAAAACCTTAGCAACAATGATTTCATACTACAGGACCTCGTTCTAGTCCTCAGTCACACTTCAAATGCAAATACACATATTATTTATTTCTTAAAATTGATTCATACTCAATTACAATTGTTCAACTCAACATTATTTTCAGAAAAAAATGGCAGTAAGAAAAATTCAACTATGTTGACCTTGGGGCATTTTTGTCTAAGTTCTAGTGCCTCTCAGAAAGACCTGAACACCCGTACCCCATAACTATGACAGTCAAAACTGCAAATGTTCTTTACCATCACTATCTAAACTATGGTCATAGACCAACTAAACTCCCAACCATATGCATCCAAAATGAGGTAAATTAAGACAGCTCATTACATTTCCTCCAAGGAAGAATGGGTTTCCGGAGGTATTTATGAAGGACTGCTTTCTTTAGCTTTGATTCTTACCTCACTTTTTTGCAAAGAAGCCTTTACTTTGACCTCTACTGGTTTACATGGATTCTAGTATATTTAGATAGAGTTTTGAGTCATGTTGTCTCAAATGCATTCCACAGACACTAGTGTCCAAGGTATTTATAGGCATTATATTAAAAAAAATACACACCACACCAGAGTTCCCTGATCACATAAATATAGACATACTACATATAGTATACATATGGTAGTATACATGCTTTATATATATTTTATATATATTGAACTGAAGGGGAAAATGCAGTAAGATTTTACAGCCTCCATGTATCAAATTCTATAAATCCAAGTTTGTGGAAAAATGGCAAGAAACTTGCAATTCAAACTGTGTATGAATGTCGTGGTAACGTTGACTTGTGTTTCTCTCTGTGAAAAAACAGTACATTAAAAAGAAAAAAAACTAACTCATAAAATCATTTGCTAAATTAGTTTCTGCATTGCCTCACAGTGAAAAACTGCCATGTTTAACCGACCTTAAACCAAAATCGAAAACACTGCCTAAAACCACAAGTTGATATAAAGGTTCCCTAAGTTTCTCTTCTGCATTAACCTTAGTTCCATGTGTCTCAGGGGCCTCCAAAGAGGTTCTAGCTTCAGGTTTCTGACATAAAAACCTTAATATAGCCTGAAGAATTCCCCTAGGCACATGGGGAGTAATCAAATTTCATGTTAACTATTAAATTACAGACATTCAATTATGTTTTCCAAACCTCTGTTTAGAGATTCAAAAGGCCCCTAGAAAACATCCTTAAACTGAAGCCCAAGTTGGCAAGTGAAACCGTTTAGCTGGGGGAGCAGAACAAAGCGGGGCGGGCCCATCGCTGCCGGCACAGGGCGAAGTGGCACGCGATGCACCCCATCCCCACTGTGAGGTGCAAATTCTTTGTGACACAGGGAGACACCGCGGAACAAAAATACTATTAGAAATGCTTCAAAAGGAACATTTTTTGGCTGCGATAGAGACTTTTGACATTATTTATTAGGTTCAAAACGGCCTCTGTGAAGCCTGACAATGGTTCTGTGGAAACCAGTACATCTGAGGCCCTTTCTGTTGTTCTGGGTAGGCATTGATTTGAAGATAGGCAGCACTCACCGAACAATTCCCTCGCAGCGGTCAGCGTAAGTGAGCATTCACCCCCGGCCTAGGAGGGGCCTGTGAACAAACAGTATGGAAACGCGTACGGCGGGAGTGGGGAAGGACCAAACCTTGATTAACCTCTTGGAGGGGAGATGGGTAGGAGTACTAGCAAATCCAGGAAGGGGCGCTTCTGCCAGACTGCGGTGGAAGGAGGCGTCTGTCCCGGCCCGCTTTCCCGGGGCGGGGGTGAGGATGAGGATGCTTGCGGAGCATCTTAGGTGCCATGGCAACTGCGCCTATTCGGACTGGATTTCCGGGCGCGCCTGGGAGCCGGCTTTCGGAATCTAGGTTTGCGGGTCGGTGTACCTACTGGAGCTGCTGTCTTCTCCACCAACTCCAGTTGTGAGGAACTCCAGGAGACTCTGGGCGAAGCAAAGGGGGTCTGGTTTCTCCGGAAGAGGCCAATGGCAGCATAAGGCCTCAGAATAAGACCTAGAAGGCAAAGGAGAACCAGGGTGGCGCTCAAGTGTGAGGAATTTACCCGCCCAGCTAAAACTTGAAAAGGAAAAAGAAAAGAACTCTCCTGATAACTGGATGTTTCAGAAATCCACGACGTTTGTAACAAGCTGAGAGAAAAATTTTAAAATCCCCTGACATTATGCTCATATGTTTCCCATGTTTCATCAAGAAAATGAAGTGCTTATCTATTCCTTTCCTATTGTTTGAAAGAACCGCCTCCCCCCAAAATAATTTTTACAGAATCCTCTTAAAACTTTTAATTTCAAGGAAAACAATTCAGAACTTCTAGGAGAGGGAAGAATGAGGGACTAAAATAAAGCATCATATTTGAAACTTGGGGAAAGGTTTTAAATAGAAATTACTCTGGAGTTACAGATCATGGAAAAACAAACAATTTTACAACCCATTTAGACTATGACTGACAATTTAAAATCCAAGAGGCAATTATTTCATGAGTTTTATTAGAAATGTCAAACCATGGGAAAATTAAAACAGTGTTTCAATCAGATGTTGACTCTACACAAGGCATATATATATACTAATAGGTTTGATTTTTTCTTTATTCAAGCAATATATATATATATATATATACAACACATGCATTTCTATGTAGATATACATATATATCAAATCTTGATATATGTCATACATATAAGATCATTTTTGGGGGACTTTCCTGGCAGTCCAGTGGTTAAGAATCCCCACTTCAAATGCAGGGGGCACAGGTTTAATCCCTGGTTGGGGAACTAACATCCCACATGCCATGTAACAAATGCAAAAAAAAACCCATTTTTATGTAAGAAATCCTGTCCATTGACCTATGCAAATTAAAATCTAATTCTTCAGTCATATATTAAGATAACTAACATGCTTTAAATCTCTTTCTATGAGCTTTTAAAGGACTTTGATTAGCATGCAAATGGCTCAATTATTTGGAACAACCCAAGGCATCACTAGATGGCTAACACTGAAATCAGATTGATTATATTCTTTGCAGCCAAAGATGGAGAAGCTCTATACAGTCAACAAAAACAAAACTGAGAGCTGACTGTGGTTCAGATCATGAACTCCTTATTGCCAAATTCAGGCTTAAATTGAAGAAAGTGGGGAAAACCATTAGACCATTCAGGTA